CCCCAAAACCCCAAAACCCCAAAACCCCAAAACCCCAAATATTATAATTTAGACTATGCAAGTTATTTTATTTTAAATTTCAAATTTAAACCAAGATGGACTCAGCCCCACATGTAAGACATCAAACTTAACAATGTAGAATGAGTATGGCTTCGATGATAACTCTGATGAGGATACGAATATACAGATAACCCAGCCTTACCCTCCATCGGTATGAACAGCCTGATTTTGTAGATTAATGTAATGAGAGTTCCAGCAAACAGTGCTGATCAAGAAAACACTAATTTGGATTCTTCTTTTGACAAAAAGAATCAATATTCCTCAGGGAATCAGAGGCACCAACCTGTCCGAGCATTCCCGATAGGTGAACAACAAGTACGAGTTCTGCTAACCTATAGCAAGAGGAAAGCTCAGATGCAGAGATCTATGAGTCAATTGATATGGATGATTTGGAAGAAAATATGTACAATCTTGGTCTATCAAATGAAGAAAAAGAAATAATATATGAGATAATTGAACAAGAAGACCAACCTGAACAGTACAGAATTTTACTAGCAGCATTATGTAAAGACGAAGGTCTTACAGGAATAATGCTTAGAAACTTAAATGTCCTACTCTGCTTAAAACAATTTGATAACCTTGATGTAAGCCAGATGTTACTAATTCTGACATCTGCTGAGGAAGATGGAAGAAAATAGCAGTCCTGAAATCTCAAACGTTGGCACTCAAGCTAGTAAGAATTTTCTTAATCCATAGATGGCGAAGCCACCCTTGGAAGAGAAGAGCTCGATAAGATAGAAGAGCAAGTTGAAATTCTTCACGAGCAAATTCTTGACCTCAAAAATGAGAAGAAAAAGATCCAAAAAGACAGCCAAAAAGAAATTGAAGAAATAAATGAGATTGCTCAGACTTATAAATAACAGTAAGTTTGCAATCTAAACAGTAGAATACCAAGAAAATTTAAAGATTATTCGAGAATTGAGTCAAGAAGTTGAAGATCTTAACAAAGCATCAGCAAAGCTAGAAATCATGCTTGAGACAAAGGAAGAAGAACTGGATCAGATCAAGGATGATAAGTACGACCTTCAGGAAACTTTAAAAGATCACACACGGATGGTTGATAGTTGCACTTCTGAGGTAGGCTTTTACAAAAGAAAAGTCAAAGATCTCCATGATTGCTTATTTTCTAAACCAGAAGAGATCATTAAGCTACTAAAAACAGACACAGTCGTGCTCAATTACCTTGATAGGATTTATCAGGATAAAATTCTTAGCTACAAAGATTTAGACAAGAGGCTTAGATACCTTGAGTGCATTGATATGAGGCATAAAAGAAGTCATTCATATGACTACTTACCAAGGATTTCGGAGAAGGATGATGTCTCCCATCTCAAAATCTCAAATAAATCATATAAGAACGAATATGATGAAATCATCCTCAACGAAGATAGAAAGGAGATGTCTCTCTATCTTTCGCAGAAGAAGCTTGACAAGCCTCAAAGACAGTCGAGGTCTAATGAAAGAGCATCAAATATCAGAAACTCACAAAATAGAGCAGATTCTTTTATAAATACCAGCATGAACAACTCATTTATGGGTGAGTATGCAGCCCATGAATGGTACTCAAGTAATCCAGGGCAAAAACCAGGAAAGCACTTCCAAAGGACCCCAGGCGTGCATGATAATGATGCCAATATTTCGAAAGCATATACAGGAGTTAGTGAGACTTCTGGGCAGAAAGATCACTCTAAATATCATAGAAGAATCGCTAGTGAGGACCTTATAATGGAAGAAGACTCAGATGTCCCAAAGATTGATTACTCCGACCAGCCAAAGCCTAATGCTAGGAAGTTAGTTGCAGATGTTCTGAAGGACATAAAGTGCATTTTTGCTTTAAATGAAAAAGCCTTGTTGTCTAATCAGCAGCCTAATTCTGACCTCAACAACTTACCTGAGTTCTCAACCCTCATTTTTGACTTCTGTGTCCAACTCTACACAGACCTGTCCTCTAAATTCACTCAAAATGTCGACCCCTCTGATCTCCCTCTCCAGCCTCCAAAGTCCCAAGCTCAGCCAAATTCTGCTGTTCAAAGCGAGCTCGCTTCGCTTCAGAATTCCTACCTTATGATGCAGCAACAGAATCTGCAGCTGCAGGAGCAGCTGAACCAGAAGTCATCGATGCTTAACGAAGAACTCACTCTGAATTTGACGCTCAAAGCTTCGAAGATGAACAAGGAGACAGAGATAAAGACCCAAAGGTCTTTATTAGAGTCTGAGTTTCAGATGAAGATCATGCAGTCACATCTTGATACTTTGACAATGAATAACACACATCTTCAGGAACAAGCAAAGGATTTGCATAAAAAGATCAACCAAAAGGAGTCAGAGATTGAATATCTTAAGAAATCGCAGCAAAAGCAGATATTATCACTCCAGGAAGCTGAACGTATTCGAGCTGAGCAGGATACAGAGTCTTTGAGAGAACGGTTTGAAGAGAGGCTAGTCTCTTCCAAAGAGGAGGTATTCCAGCTTTCTCTAAAGGTCCAAAACCTTGAACACGAAATAGATCTCAAAACTAGGCATCAAAGAGGACTAGAGGACCAAGTTAAAAAGCTGCATGAAAAGTTAGAATATATCAAACACAAAGAGCCCAGTGAAAGCCATGATATCTCTGATACTGGTTATGAAGAATATGTGTATGAAGCTATAGAGTTTGACCAGTTAAAGAAAAACAACCGGGTTCTCGAGAACAGGGTCAAAGAACTTGAGAGAATGATAGAAAAAGGTACCAGAGTCGAGCAAGAAGATCAGTTTAGAAGGCACAAAGATTATATAAGGGAAATTGCTCATACGAGCTTTGAGGCCGAAGAAAGAAAACAACCCTTAGGAGATTATGAGCATGAAGGAGAGAAGAATATACTTTTGAAGTGAATTAAAAGCCTTCTAAAGTCATATAGTAAAGATAAAATGTGAACAGTTAACCTAGAAAATGTTGACCTCTCATCACACATCGAACCACTCCTACCTGTCTTAACATCGACAAGGAAAATGATAGAGCTAAATCTCAATAACACCAACCTGCCCTCCTCCTGTCTTTCTTTGCTTTCCAAACTTATTCAGTCAAACAGCAATCTTCAATCACTAAAAATAGGCTCGAATCCCTTCTCATCGACCTCCCTGTGTTCCTTCTTTAGCTCTTTATCTAGTAATAGGCACCAAATAACCTCGCTGGACATATCCCAATTAGATTGAGGAAAGCAATTCTCAAAATTCCCAATGACTATGATATCCAAATCATTGGCTATTAATCTAATTGCTTTCATTGAGGCAAGCTCAGGTTTTAGATCATTATGCTTGAAAGGATGCTTCCCTTCAGCATGATCTAGTGGGTCTGATTTAGAAGCTGCTAACATTGTATTCGCCAATCTGGCAGATAGCCTAATGTTGTGTGATCTTGATCTTTCCCAATGAGTTCTGTCAGAAGCTGTGATGTCGAGATTGTTCTCCCCGAGTTGAAGGATGAACTTAACGAGTCTCACCATATTAAGAAGTATGATCAGAGATACTCAGCCTTTGGAAGAATATCTCCTCACCAAGGACGGACTACAGAAGTTTCACATCGGAAACATAGATGAAAAGATCCTCAATTGTATTGGAAATCATCGAAATTTAAGAGACCTCATGATCGAACAAGTTACCTTAAGCCATGCCTCACTCGAAACTCTAAGGCCAGTTGTCAGAAATTTGAGGTACTTAGAAATTAAAAACTGTGATCTTGGAGACCAGATAGCTCTTTGTCTTTTTGATGAAGTACTTAGATCGAAAAGTATTTTTCAAGTCGTTTGAAGTGGAAATAAACTTACAGACATATTTATCAAAGAATTAGTTGACAGAATCCAAGAAGCTGACGAAGAAAAAGAGTACTTTGGTCAAAAATATTCAACCCTCAAAAACCTCAGCCTCGCAAGCAACAAAATCAGTGATATCGGAGCTGAGTGTCTCGCTGATATATTCGGGTCTTGAAACAAACTCATAAAAAGTTTAGAAATCCTGGACTTGTGAGATAACATAATCTATGAGAAAGGAATCAATATGATCAAGAGATCACTTAAGAACAATTCTCTAAAACTCCAGGTTGGACTATAGCTATTCATCAGTACCATAATCCAGTTGTCAATATTCTTATAACCCAAAGGGGTTTTGGGGTTTTGGGGTTTTGGGGTTTTGGGG